GCGATATGAAGTGGTATATAAATGAAGCTGCTTTGCTTTGCTTTACAATATCATATGCACAGCCTCAATGTATTTACACATATATAGTTTCATGTGGTTGAAGTGAAAATTTGCTAAAAGGCGATATTCTTAAAAAGAATAATTTTTAAAAATAATTTAATTTAAATATATGACACCACTCCTCCTCAAATATCTGTCTTTGGGTAGAAACAGTATATTCTGTTTCTACCCAAAGAAACAGTATATATACTGTTTCTACCCAAAGACAGATATTTGAGGAGGAGTGGTGTCATCCCACCTTAGGGTGTCACTTGGTACAGTCCACATCCACTCCCTCCCGCACCCCCTAGTGATGCCACTGGTCTTTTCTAGTGAGTCTTTCCACCTCATGATATGACCAAAATATGACAACTTAAGTTTAATTGTGAGCTTTGATGCAGAGTTCAGATTTGATTTGCTCTAGAACCCATTTATTGTTTTTTTTTTTAGTAACCAACAGTATTCACAGAAGTCTCCTGAAGCACCACAAGTCAAATAAGTTGATTTTCTTTTTATCAGCTTTCTTGATTTTCCAGCTTTCATACCTATATATAGAAATGGCAAATATGATGGCATGTACTTTAATCCTAACTTTAGTATTCAGTGATATATTTTTATACTTGAGGATCTTATCTAATTCCTTCATAGCTGTCTTTCCAGGTCCAAGTCTTCTGATTTCTTGACTACAGCCTCTGCTTTGGTTGATGATTGAGCCCAAGTCTGGAAAACTGAAACTATTTCAATATATTCATCAGAATACTGTGGTACTACTGAAAAATTGTCTAGATGCAGTACAGGATATGAGTGAACAGACTGAGTCTTAATCCAGTCAAGATAGAAGTGCTGCTGGTAAGTAGGAAAACCAGCCTGGGATTTGGGATTGCAGATTGTTCTGGATGTAATATGATAAATGAACAAATAATGTTTTTTTGGACTAAACTTTTGTAGAGTTGCAGCCCACTCCATCAGATGTCTGAAGTTTAGCCTAAGTTTGGAAATATTTATATATACACTGTGTGATGGGGTGGTGGTTGCAGTACAAATGCAAAAAGC